CTCCTCCTCCTCCTCCCCCTCCTCCTGTTCCTGCTGCTCCTCCTCGGGCGGCCCACCATTCCTGCAGCCTGAGCAAAGAAAAAAGCTCTTGGGGCAATCCTGGAGCACCCCCCGAGATCACGACAATATCCTGCTGCTTCGAGCTCTGCCTGGCCCACCCCGGACCACTGCGGATCCGCCGACGCCGCTCTGGACGCCCGCCGATACAGTGGAGACCCATGCCAAGAAGCAACCTGCTTGCCTCCAGCGTGCCCTGGGTTTCTTGGGTCTCGATGGATTTTGAGATGAAGAGCGCGAGGTTCCCACGCCAAACATCCATGGACGTCCTGGGGTCTCAGGGTTTGATTTCTTGTGGAAGGCTTCTTGTGGACTGGCCTCCACTGTGTGGTCGTCTCAAACCCCGGTCCCAGGACCCTCGACCTTTACCTTCCGTACCCTCCGGGCGGCAGATGCCGCGCAGCGGCCGCCGCTAGCGCGGCCGCAGAGGCGACCGCCGTCGAGGCCGTCACGGCGGTCTCGGCGGTCAACGCGGCCGCGCCGCGGCGGCATCTGCTACGAAGGCTCGGAAGGTGGAGGTCGACGGAACTCCGACCACTTCCCTGGGGGTCGGCTGTCGTCCCAGATCCATGTTTGATGGCCCCAAGGCTCGACTGTGGGGAAGCCGACAGGTACCGACACCGTTACGCCCGGGACCTCCCCTGGGCTGCGTTCTGACCAGTGTCCAGGAGAACCCGGCGGTGACGACGAGGGCCTCCCAGGAGGCCCCCTCCCCCCCAAAACAAAGAAGTCGGGGGCGGCCAACAGGGGGGCGCCCAAGAGGGGGGGGCGCAAATCATGGCCGGCGGCGCGTGCGCGGCCCAGAGGGGGGGAAGGGGGGCAGGGACACAGGCGCCACGAACTTTGAGGACATCTCATGGCCCACGCCGTGATGTGCACCCCCCCCTCCTCCTCCACCTCCTCCTCCTCCTCCACCACCACCTCCTCCTCCTCCTCCTCCTCCTCTTCCTCCTTTCTTCCTCCTCCTCCTCCTCCTGCTCCTCCTCCTCCTCCTCCTCCTCCTCCTCTTCCTCCTCCTCCTCCTCCTCCTCCCCCTTCCTCCCCCCCCTGGTCATCACCTCCCTCCTTGGCCGCCCCCGACAGGAGGGCGCAGGCTGGCGGTACGGGGGCACCCCTGCCTCCTCTGAGACTGCACCCCCGCGGGGGCCGAGGTCGAGGGCAGGCGCCGATGCCGGGGCCGCCGAGCCGCCGAGCCGTCACCCCAGAGCCGCCGCCGCTGCCGCTGGCAAGATTCGCATCCACGCCCACTGTGTCTCGGAGCTTCGAGCTTCCCTCCCGAATTTGGACGCCCGAGATGTGTACGGAAAAAATGGGTACAATGCCCACCAGCAAATGTTGTCCCAAACCATGAGCGGCCGCTGTTGGGCAGGCGGCCTTCTGTTTCAAATAGACACAGGCAGCGGCGGCACGGACAGCGAGTCCTGTTCAAAATGAACAAGGACTGCTGTTGGGCATTGTACCCATTCTTTCCGTGCCCATGTCGGTAGTCCCGACCGAGAGCCCAGTGTCGAGCAGGGGCCCACGGTCCCCGCATGCCTTCAAGCCCAGACCGAAATTCTCTCGGGTCCCCAAACTGCTCCGATAGCCAGAACAAACTGCTCGATGAGCCAGAGGTGTTGAAAAACAAGACAGCCTCAGCCAGGCATGCTATACGAACACTGCGTGCAGACCTCAACGGGTTACCAGAACATCCGTGTGTGGCCGGTAGGAGAGCCAGGACGCTTCGCCACTGCTTGACAGCGGCGCAGTGAATATGGATAAACACAATTAGCGTGGCCCTTGGAAGCCAGCTCCCTGCATCTACTGCGCCTCTGTCCTGAGGCGCCCCTCCCCAGACAGTCCAAGTCGCAATGGACGTGGTCGCATCGACGCTCAATCGGCGCCAATCGACTCATAATCGACGCTGGTCGACGCTACTCGACGTTAAATCGGCACTATCTCATCGATTACCAAGCGCTACTCGCCGCTAGTACACCTTGACGACAGAATTGCGAGGGTAAACAAGGCCACCATGATTTGCTACCAAAACATAGTCTGGCCCCTGGAAGCCAGCTCCTCACTAGCATCCACTGCGCCTCTGTCCTTGGGCGCCCCTCCCCAGGCAGCCCAAGTCGCAGTCGGCCCAGACATCCGGCTTCTCCAATTTGTTCGATGCGGGGGCCCCGGAGGTCTGGACCACTTCCCCAGGGTCGGTTTTGCGCCCTGCGTCGTGTGCTGACCGCCCCAAGGCCCAGCGAGGGCCCCCACAGGGGCTGGAAACGGCCCAAACCCGGCAGCTCCCCTTGTTCTAAAGCGTCGAATCTCCGCGGGCCTTGCCCGCAGCGCGCGCCGCCGCAGAGCCGCCGCCGCCGCTCCCGGCCGAGGCCTCGGGCGAGTGCACGCCTCGACCCCCTGGCCATCGCGCGAACGTCCATTCCCTGTGCTTTTTTCGGTTTCGTGCGTGGCTTTTTCGCCAAATGATCCAGGATGCTCCTCGATGGTCCTCGCCGAAGGAAAAATGCACACGTCCGAGCGATGCCAAGCCCCTGGGATGGGCTCGGCGCCGCGCGGGGCGCGCGGAGGCCCGCGCGGAGGCCCGCGCGGAGGCCCGCGCGGAGGCCCGCGCGGAGGCCCGCGCGGAGGCCCGCGCTCGGCGTCGACGGGTGGCGACGTCCGAGCCCTTCAGGCCTCTGGGGACCCGCAGCGGGCCCCAGAGGCCGCAATCGAGGAACACATGCAACACATAAATATGTATGGTTACATGCATGCAAATATGTATGTATGTTTGTATGTCGGTCTGTCTGTCTGTCTGTCTCTATGTATGTATGTTTGTATGTATGTAGGTACGCATTGATGCATGGATGCATGCATACAGGCGTGTATGTGTGAAATTGTGCACGTACGTAGTCTGCGCAAATACATGCTTACATACATGTCTAGCGACCTATCGACCTACCTCCCAAGCTGCCTAGAACTAAACACATACATACATACATACATACATACATACATACATACATACATGCATGCATGCATGCATGCATGCATGCATACATACATACATACATACACACACATATACACACATGCATGCATGCATGCATGCATACATACATACATACACGCATACGTGCATACATACACATGTGCATGCATACACACATTCATGTATGTACATGTATGCATGCATGCATACGCGCTTACATGCATGCAATCATGCATATATGCATACATGCGTACATGCATATACGCATGCCTGCATACATATCGATATGCAACCATACAACCATACACGCGCATATCCATACACACATGCGTGCCCACGCACATGCGCACATACACACATGTACACGTGCATGCATGCATCCACACATTCATATAGTCATACATGCATACATGCATACATACTTACATACATACACGCATACATACATACACACATGCATATACATACACATGCATGCGTACGTGGTTGAAACCATGCGTGCATGATACTTGCATCCATGTGTGCATACACACATACATGCATACATGCAGACATTCATGCATGGGTGCATACATACATGCATGCATGGTTGCATACACACATACATACATGCATGCATGCGTACATCCATACACCCACAAATCCATACAACCGTACATCCATACGTGCGTGCATACGTACATACATGCACGCATGTAAACCTACCGCCCTACCTACAGTACACACATGCACGCATCCACAAACACACAGGGACACATACACACATAGCCACATCTATGTTTACAGGCATACAGACATACATGTATATACTCATACATTCAAACATGCATACATGCAAACATACATACATGCACACATGCATACATGCAGACATACACATCTACACTTGCGCATGAACATGCATATACACGTACGCATACATACATACATACATACATACATGTATGGGAATGTGCATGCATACGTACACAACTACATACATACACACATGCACACATAAACACACCATGAATACATGCATACATATATACATATATATATATATATACACCTGCAAACCTACACCTATGCATACACACATACATACATATATGCATGCAGATATGCATATCTGCATGTCTACATACACTCATACATACATACACCAACACACCTACATCCATACATGCATACACACTGACATGCATACGAACACGTATACATTCAAAAGTCGCCAGACTGATGACAGCACAAGCCGCCCCCGCACCCGTCCAGGACCACCGCTCCCGACCTGTTGATTCAGGGGCCCGAGCGGGGGTCGGGGGTGGTCATTTGGGAGCTTGGGGGCAACCAACGGCCCCCGCCTCCAGCCAGGGCCCCTGGATCACCAGGTCGGGCGTGGGCTCCTGGGTGGAGCATGGGGGCGGGTTGTGCTGCCCTCACCGACGGGGCCCCTGGTCCCAACCTCCCGATGGCATGTTTCGTTCACTGAGCCGCGGAGGCCCCGCGCCCGTCGCCAGGGCGTAAAGCCAACGCCCCGGGCTCGTTGTTGATGCCTCCTGGGCCCGAGAGCGGGCCCCAGGGGCCGACGTCGAGGAGCCACGACGGGTCTGTGGGAACATCGAGCTCACGTCGGCGATGCACTGCGGAGGGCTCGGCATCGCTCGGACATCCCTCTCTCGTGCACGTTTTGATTCGCGCGTCTGTTTTTCTTCGCAAGATGAACCAAGATGCTCCTCGATGGTCCTCGCCTTGTGTTGCTCCCATCGTACTTAAGGGCCGGATCCCAGAAACAATTCCGAGCACCCAAGAGTATCGAAGCAGCGTCGAGCGAGTATCGCCCCCCAGGGCCCGACGCGTGAAAGCTTTCGAATGTCCGCACTTTCCGGGTGCTCGAAATTCCTTCTGGTGATCAAGGCTAAAGTAGGTTGGAAGATCATGCCTTGTAACATGATCCACTATGTAGGTCGGGTATGTCCCCCTACAGAAGTATTTTGAACGAAAACTTAAAACAACAACAACAACAACAACAACAACAACAACACCAACAACAACAACAACAACAACAACAACAACAACAACAATCACTTTACCCGAACGCTCAGTGTTCTCACCAGTGCCAGGGTTTTCATGCGACGCCAGCCAATACCCCCACTTTGTGGGGGGGCAGTGCAAGCTCTACCAAATATCCACACGACTCTTCGCCACCACCCACACCCAGCTTCCCGCCCTATGACGTTCGGACACTTCACTTCGTGGCCTGCGGACGACCGTGGCTACTACACTGGCGTGGAGTACACACCCACAGAAGTTGTTAAGCCTACGTTCGTACCCACAAAGGTGAAAAGTCGTGCAGGTGTTTTTCGAGGACCTACGGTGCGATTCGTGTGATTTTATGATGCGCGGTGCTAAAATTCTTAAAAACCCAATGGTTTTTGGAGATTTCGGCGTGCGCGCGCGAAGAAAAAACGAATGTGTCCCGCATGGTATTATTTGACAGGGATGATGGCCCTGGCAGGTGCGCAACCGTTGTCGCAGAAGTTCGAAAAAGTTGCTCGCAAAAGCCCGTTTGACAGAAATGTTTAAAAAGTGTTGGTTTTCCTACGAATCCGCAAGAGCGCGCGGGATGAGATTTTGACATTTTTTTGTTGAAAAACCATTGGTTTTTTGATGTTTTTATGTTAAAATCGCTCCGAACACTAAGCTTTTGGAAGGATTTCGTCTTGCGCGCGCGAATGTCCACTTTACCTTATTTTTTGCAAGGGATTCTTGAAATTTGATTATATTAGAACAAGAAATGTCATTTTATAGTGTTTTTTGCAAGGGAAAACGGATTACAACAAAACAACCGGATCTTGATCACCTCGAATTACCTGAGGCTTCCTCACGAAAATGATGAAAACGCGGCTGCGGCCTAGGCGCGGCGGGGGGGGCGCGCACCAGGGGGCCCAACAATAATTATTCTTTAGAATTAATAATGTTCAACAACAACAATACCCAAATATAGTCCAACTATAATCGGAAAAGCGTCCCTAAATGATTGCTTGACTATTTTTCGCATCTGACTCCGGTACAAGGACATGCCCGACTTCATCCTCGCGAACGTCAAGCGATGCCGAGCGAATGGTAAAAAAGAAAACGTCCGAGGCGATGCCGAGCGGATGCCTCGACCGAGAGGTCCCCGACAGCAAGACAATAGAAACCCGCACGCTCCCGGGCGGGGCGGGCCATCGGGCCACCTCCCATCGGCGACAAGAGAGGGGCCCAGGGACACACACACACACACACACACACGCAGACACAGACACACACACGCATACGCACACACGCACACACACACACCTGCACACACCTGCACACACGCACACACACACAAACACGCACACACACGCACACACACACACACACGCACACACACACACACGCACACACACACACACACGCACACTCACACACACGCACACACACGCACACTCACACACACGCACGCACACACACTTTTGACGTCGGCGGCGAGGCGGCGAACTCCGCTCCAGCGAACAGCTAGGTAGGGGCACTAAATAGCGAATTGGCCGCCGTGCAGGGAGGGAGGGGGAGGCCGAGAGGAAGGAGGGGCGCACAGGCGCCGAAGAATGCGACGACGAGCAGCCGGCGGGCAGGGCTCTCGAGGCGGATCCAGACGTGGCCAGGAGGGCGCCCCGGGGCCATGCCTCGGCTCTCCGGCGGCCGTCTTGGACGGCCTGGACCCCCCCCCCGGACGCCCCTCGGCGAGGCGCAGCTGCTGGAGAGCATCCCGAGGCTCGAACGCCGTCGAGATTAGGGGGCCACATGCGAACCCTACCCCTACCCCCCCCCCACGATTTCTGAGGGCGAGGGTGGGGTTCACTTCGCTCGGGAGCTCCCAAGCGAAGCGAACCCCACCCTCGCCCTCAGAAATCGCGGGGGGGTAGGGGTAGGGTTCGCATGTGGCCCCCTAGAGATCCAACGACACCGCCCGAAAGCCTCGAGCCCGACGCTGACCCCGACGCTGCGCCCTGCCCCCGGGCGGCGCCCCCCGAGGGGGCCGGAAGGCCCGACGCGGGGCAGGAGGAGAGGAGCAGGAGGAGAGAAGCATGGAGAGGGAGGAGGGGGAGCAGGAGGAGAATGAGGAGGAGGAGGAGGAGGAGGAGGCGGAGGAGGAGGAGGAGGAGGAGCAGGAGCAGGAGGAGGAGGATGACAGAGAAAGAGAAGACGGGAGGAGGCGGAGGAGGAGGAGGAGGCGGAGGAGGAAATCGACGTGGAGGAGCAGGAGGGGGAGGCAAGCCCCCCCCCCAAATTCTGTCAGAGATGCCCTCCCGGAGGGACCGGCAGGCCAGCCGCGTAGCAGAGGTCGCCCGCCAGCAGGTGCAGCTGCCTGGGCCACGTCGCCGCCACGAGCACCGTCTGCCGCTCGGGGCGGATCCAGCCGTGCAGCTCCCGCACCTCGGCCAGCGTGGCCTCGCCCGGGCACGCGGGCGCTGTCGGCAGCCATTCACCCCACGACGCGCTCGCCCCTCGGGGGCGCACTTTGCTACCAGCCTCGAACTTATCCCCATCCCTAAGATGGACACGCCAAAAAGCGATGCCAATCTCAGGGACGCGCTCGTCTCTCGGGGGCGCACTGTTTACCAGCCTCGAACTTATCCCTATCCCTAAGATCGACACGCCTCAGGGATGCGCCCTCAAAACATGAGGGAACCCCTGAGATTGGCATCGCGATGAGGAGGAGGAGGAGGAAGAGGAGGAGGAGGAGGAGGAGGAGGAGGAGGAGGAGGATAAGGAGGAGGAGGAGGAGGAGGAGGAGGAGGAGGAGGAGGAGGAGGAAGGAGGAGGAGGAGGAGGAGGAGGAGGAAGAGGAGGAGCAGGAGGAGGATGCCCAGCTCAAGGATAAGGATCTGTTCCAGGCTGGTGAACCTCCCGCTTCCGCCGCCTGCCAGCCGAGAGCTCCCGCCGGCAGCAGGCGGGCCCGGTTTGCTGCCGCCGGCCTTCCGCCGCGGGAGGGGACGCCAACGCCGTCGATCCTCAAAGGCAGGGATCCTTTTTTGGAGCGCTCCATTGGAGGCCTGGAAATTGGCACCAACACCAACACAGGGGGTTGCCTCCACACGGGGACAGATGATCCTAGATTTTCGGTGTTGGTGGTAATAGTTCGGGCACCTTGGAAGCCAGAATATTACCACCATCACCGAGATCGGGATCTTCTTCCCTCGGTGGAGGCACACCGCCGAAATTGGTGTTGGTGTCAATCTCTAGGCCTGCGACTCCATGCATGTCTGACCTAACTTGGCGGCGCGCACAAGGGAATGGGGGGAGGGGGGGGGCTTCTTGGAAGCAGGCTGCTTCTTAGAAGGCGCCGGCCTTCCATCTATAGATAAGGCCCGCGCCTTCTGAGAAGCAGGGGTGCTTCTAAGAAGCCCCCCCCCCTCCCCCCACCCCCTTCTGCGCGCGGCGGACTAACGTTGCATCGAATGGAAACCATCAAGACTGCATAGGCATGTAGCAGTTGCAGGTGGACGACGCCGAGACAATTTTTCAGCTCGATCCGTGGATGCCTGAATGCGATGATGCCATGCCATTGAGATATACACGCATCATGTGATGGTGCCTTCGCGCATGGATCCCATAACGCCCTGGTGCCGCACGAGGGGTTCCAGGCCAGGTTCCGCCTGCCTCCTCCCGTCCAGGGGTCCCCGACACCCGATGCCATGATGTTTCAATACGAGGGGGACAACAACAACACATAAACATGATTACATAAGATCTCTGAGGACCGCGCGGATTGGCCGGATCGGCGCTGGACGCCCGTTCCTGGCGCGCGGAGCTCGCCAGAAGTGGCGCCCGAGGCGCCGCTAGGGGGGTTGAGTGCCCATACGGGGAATCCGGTCGGAAATGCCAAAAATTTATGCTCGTGCCGCTGCTTCTTCTTCTTCGGGGCTCCCGCTGAAGGCCCAGGGCCAATGCAAGAACTCCGCGCGGACGTTTGAGAGAAAGTATGCCTATGCAGCTTTGGGGGGGTCCCGAGCCCAGGCATAGGCTGCCCTGTCCAGCGCGATCCCGAAGGGGAAGAGCGGGAGCTGGCACCGCAGCACGAGGGCAGGCTGGGCAAGCGGGCAAGCTGAGGCCGCTGTAGGCTGCGTCAAGCGCCGCGCACACCAGTGGAAGTGGAGCGCAGACGGGCTGTCCTGCGATGAGCATTCTCGCGGGCGTCCAAGATGGGGGCGTCCATCAGAGGGGGTGGGGCGCAAATCATGGCGCGCGTCGTGGGCGCGGCCCAGGGGGAGGGGCTGGCAACGTTTTGAAATGCGAAGGTGCGCCATGAGACCTGGGGGGCTATCATGGCCACGGCCATGAGATCCCCCGCCTAGTCATCACCCCCCTGCTGGCCGCTCCCGACAGTTTGCGGCGACAGGCATCGCGCAGGCATCTTGTGCTCTGGGCGACAACTCCTAAGAGGTCCTCGCGAGAACGACTGAGGGCCGTCCCGAGCCCCGCACGTCGTGGAGGACATGAGAGGAGGTGCTGGATGGGAAAGGGAGCGCGATCCCAGATAGCACCATCATCCTCGCGCGCGACTGCTGGCCTGGACACCCGAGGTGACGAGCAGACTGAGGCAGAGGCCGCGCTGTTGACCTGGCGCCGGGCCCTGCATTGGGCCCCCGCTCGAGCGATGCTGCATATGCTGGCCACAGACATATCGAATCCCTCGCATGGGCAGCTTACCCGTCGTTCATTTCTAACCGTGCTCATTTCTAATTGTGCTCATTTCTAATTCTTCCTGGCCCCCCAGTGGCCAGGAAGCGGCCCAGGACAGAAGAATTAGAAATGAAAGGATCTTGGCCACGAAAAAATCGAATAACTTCCGAACCATGAGAAAGGAACAATGCGTACCCAAACTTCACTCATGATATGGTGCCCTCCGATGACGGGGTCTGGGGGGCAGTCCCAAGTCGTGGACGGATCGTCGGCTGCAGGGCGACGCCGGAGGCCTCCGGAGCTCTTCATTCCCCGACCTCCTGTGTGTTGGGTCCTCGCTTTGGATCCGCAGCGCCGCGCGTCACCTCCCTCCCACCTCCCCTTCTCCTCCTCCTTCTCCTCCTCCTCCTCCTCCTCCTCCTCCTCCTCTTCCTGCCCTGGCTCATTTCGGCACACCCCTCACACGTTTCCGACCCCCCAGGGAGATGCACCCATGCCCCGAGTGGGTACGTCCGCATGGCGTCCCCGCGCTCTTTTCGGCACACCCCTGACAAGTTTCCTGCCCCCCAAGGAGCTCCATCCATGGCCCCAATGGGTGCGTAGGCATGGCGTCCCCGTTCCTATTCAGGCACACCCCTCACACGTTTCTGGTCCCCGAGGTAGCTCCACCCATGGCCCCTGTGGGTGCGTCCGCATGACGTCCCTGCGCCCAATTCGGCACACCCCTCACACGTGTCCTGCCCCCCCCAGGGAGCGCCACCCATGGCCCCAATGGGTAATTATGTCCGCATGGCGTCGTCAGCGTCCGCGCGTGAATGCCGCACGTCACGTTTGGTTGGGGCGTCTTTGGCGAAGCCTTCATGGGCACCGCAGGCCCCTCGACGTATTCGTGTGCATTGAGCGGTCCCTCTTTCTCAGCCGCCTCTATTTGAGAATCGGCTGGGTTCTTCGCCAGGCCACTTTCACGTATCTGCTGACTTTTCCTCAGAGTGCAGGAGCCTCTGGATGCCCCAGAATGCCCAGGCGAGAAGGGCTGAGAGCGCCGAAGGCCTGACTACACTGGAAAACTGCGAAACCTCACAGAACAGATGCTGAACGGGCGGAGATCCGATCTTACCGGGGCACGGGGCACGTTTCGCACTTCAGCGCAGAATGAGCTAAAAAACGCAGTGCGCTTTCAGTGCATTCTTCGCTGCGGGCAGCGCAAGCGTTTACGCGCACCACAGCATTCGCAACCGGCAACATGCCTGGTGCCACGGGCAGTCCAAGGAAGCACGCTGTACTCGATCCGTGCACCCACCGGCAAGCAACGCCCGCGGCGACACCAACGAAGGCACCGGCACTCGAGGCGCACGGGGCCCCTCCTCGCCCCCCCTCCACCGCCATCCCGAACCCCCCTCCACAATTACACCATCTGAGTACGACTCTCCTCCCTCCCCTGAGGACGTCTGGGAGATGTCCGACCCCCCTGCGCGTACTCTGTTTTGCACACAGGAATCCGGGGAGTTGGGTTTTCGCTTGGGGTATGCTTCTCGGAATGCTGCTCCCGCGGAAGCGCTGGCCCCAATTCTGCGCCTGTGGTTGTTCCACGTCGTGCTCCCGCTGCAGCGCGGGCGTTGTCGGCTCTTCCAACTGAGCCCCAACATGTAGAAAATTGTCCCTCGAAAAATAACCATCGGAAGCGACTACACATTCAATGTCGATTCGTTGATTTGTTGGGCCACTTTGGGGCGTTGTCGTTTTCACGAAGTATCAAGCGGGAACCCCGTTTCTGCTTCGAGAAAGCGATGTTGACAGCAGAGCCAGCGGGTGCTCTCCATCAGCCCCGCCTTGTGTGGAGCTGTTCGGCGAGCCCAAGGAGCTATAAATGGAGCCACGACTCGAGACCCACCTGGACCTCTCGATGACACTTACCCTCCAAGGAACCTGGCGCCATGCCATGACGTGCTGCGCGGTGTTGTGTTCTGCGCCGCTGTGCGATGCCATGCTTTGCGTTACAATGCTTTATGAAGCAATGCTTCACTGCACAATGCCACGCCATGCTATGGCATGCTGAGCTCTGCTGTGCTCTATGCCATGCCGTGCTCTATCATGCGTCGCGCACCCTCTCGCGATCATTGCCCTGCTCGACATCCGACCGTGCGGATAGAGAGGATACCTGCGCCATGGTGAGGAATGGGAGGGAGAGGCAGGACGTCAGATATGACACAAACGCACCTCGCTTGCCCATCCCCCCTCCGCCCTCCCCGACCCTCCCTCAACCTCCTCCTCATCCTTCCTCGTCCTCCTCCTTCTCCTCCTCGCCCTCCTCCTCCCTCAACCTCCTCCTCCTCCTCCTCGTCCCTCAACCTCCTCCTCCTCCTCCTCCTCCTCCTCCTCCTCCTCCTCCTCCTCCTCCTCCTCCTCCTCCTCCTCCTCCCTCCTCCTCCTCCCTCCTCTCCTCCTCCTCCTCCCTCCTCTCCTCCTCTCCTCCTCCTCCTCCTCCTCCTCCTCCTCCTCCTCCTCCCTCCTCCTCCTCCTCCTCTCCTCCTCCTCTCCTCTCCTCCTCCTCCTCCTCCTCCTCCTCCTCCTCCTCCTCCTCACCCTCGCCAATAGATGTCCCCCTCCCCATTGCCCCTCCCTTCCTCCCACCATGTCTGCAGGCTCGGACTCGGCGCGCACGCACGGCTCCGCACGGCTCCGCGCGCACCGGCGCGCGCAGGCGCGCCCCATAAGAAGCCCCCGCCGAGCACCCAAGGAGGCTGCATCTCCTGGGATCCAGAGAACTCCTCATTCAGGGGAACACGAAGTGGCATAAACATAAAAACTCGGAGGTCCGCGCGGATTTCTCGGATCGGCGCTGGGGCCCCCTGGCGGCGCCTCCGGCGCCACCCCTGGCGCGCTCCGCGCGCCAGGGAGGGGGGTCCAGCGCCGATCCGAGAAATCCGCGCGGACCTCAGAGTTTTTATGTTTATGTCACTTTTTGTTCCCCTATCATTTGATTTCGGAGATTCAGAAGTGTCTGACGCAGTTGGGACCCGTCCCTATCGCCTGCGGTGCATCTCTCAAGGAGCCAGAAAGCGCTTTACATCAGCCATGCTTGCTTGGGGCGGGACACCCAACGGTCAAGTGGCCAAGCGTGACCACAGGAACTCTCGTCCTGCTCGAGGCGCATCCAAGTCGTAGGGTCGTAGGGTTAGGTCGGGCATGTGCCCCCACATTGTGAATTTGGGCGAGAAAAGCAAAACAAAGTCCAACATAAATTCAACAACTGTCAACAGTAATAGAGAAATCGCCCCCGGACTATATTTGTATTTCTATTATTGGATATTCCTCCTGTAGAGGGACGTTTTCACTGAATCGCAGGATCTTCAGGCAATGCAGAGGGAACGGTCAGGGAGGCCGGGAAGGCCCGAGGCGGCACCCGGAGGCCCCCCTTGACGGCCAGCGGAGGCCCAAGGTGTCCCCGAGGGGTCTGGAGACGGCCCAGGAGTGCCCAGAGGGGCCCCCGAGCAAGACAAGCCAGCACGACCCAAAGACAAGCCCAATACACGGCTCACGACGGCCACGCGAGAGCCCCAAGAAGGACCTACATTGGCGAGCGCGTTCCACTACTCGCAAAGTAATTACTCGCAAATGGCCTGGATCGGCCATGGGAGATATCCGACACAGTACATTGATGCAGACGTATGTGTTTCGAAAGTTTGCGAGTAGGCACTTTGCGAGTAGTGGAACGCGCTCGGTGACAGAACGCGCTCGGTGACAGAAGATGAGAAGGAAAGGGGGCTGGAAGATGGGCAGGCCGGACAAAAACGGCGCAAGGAGGTGGAGGGCGACGAGGAGGTCAAGAAAAGACGCCCCGACGCAGCGTGGAATAGCGCTTCACATGTCGCGGCTCTCGCTCGCCGACAACGGCATCAAGGAAACACATCAGCACCAACTGATATTTGCCGGCGTGGACCCCAAATAGTGCGGCTCTAGCAACATGTGTATATGTTGTGCCATCTGTGTTGTGCAATATGTGTGGTGCCATCTATGCTGTGCAATATGAATAGTTTGTGGAATATGCGTGGTGCAATCAATGTTGTGCAATATACGTGGCGTATCCTATGTTTTGCAGCGTATGAACCGCAATATATGTTATGAGCGATCAAGAAGCGCGCCGCAAGAACGACAACAACAATCGTGCAACCTATGTGCTACAATCTAGTGATGTGGGGTGATCTGCGTGGTGAAATCTATGCGGCGCACTTTAGGTGATGCAAACTATGCAGTCAACCTAGGTTGTGCAATGTATGTTGTGCAATCTATGTGGTTGTGCAAAATAGTTTGCGCAATGTATGTGGTGCAATCTATGTTGTGCAGTCTATATGGAGGGTACCAGCATGTTATGTGCGATCTATGTTGTGCAATGCTTGTGGTGCAACCTATGTTGCGAGCGATCAAAAAGCGCAAAGAGTTTCCACTTCCCCGCAACCTATGTGGTGCAATCCAACTGCAGCGACGGGCAGCGACGGCGACCACATAGCCGCCAGACCAGCCAACCGGCCCAGGCGACGGGCGGCGACGGGGCGGCGACGGCGACCACGTAGCCGCCAGAATGGCCACACGGACCAGACGACGGGCGGCGACGAGGAGGCGACGGGGCGGCGACGGCGATCACTTAGCCGCCTGACCAGCCACACGGCCCAGGTCGTTAGAGCAGAAGTAAGAAGCCCTAGGCGCAGGAACTGTTTGCGGAATTCCCGGAATACTTGTCGCCACGACATTTCTTCTCGACGCGCACACGTGGACGAAGCCGACGTCACTGCAAACCCTGCGCCCCACGCCCCAAGTAGACGAGGCTCGCGCCGTGGCAAATCCTGCGCCCAGGGCGGAGTTTGCCCTGGTGGCCGCGGCGCCCTCCCATAGGCGTAAGGCCGCGCGTAGGATAAACCAGCGCGTCGCCTTCCGGATGCGTTTGTCTCTTGCGTGGTCAAGGCCCTCCCACCTCGACCCCCAGGCAACCGACGACCCGAAATCTTCAGTGCGCGGCTGCGGGGTGGTCCAGGGCCCTTCCCCGTGGGGCAATCACTTATGCAAAACACAGAACACCAAACCTGCTTCTCCAACACGTGATATGGTCGGGTGCGGGTACATCGAAGGCCTCTGAGATCTGGCGGCTCTGGAGGACGCCTCGGGCGCCGCAACGCTCCGAGAACGCCCTGGGACGGAGTCATCCTCGTCCTGGCCCCGCCCGGCCTGGCCTGCAGGCGGGCGCGTGCCACGAGACGGGCCTCCCCGGGGGCCCCCGCGGTGGCCCAGCGCACGACGGGGCCCGGGAGCCCACAGGCCGAGAGGTCGAGGGGGGAGCGCCCGGGAGTGGCAGAAGCCGCGCCGTTGGAGCTCTGAGGAAGCATCGGGCTCGTTGGGCGGTGCTCAGATCAGCTGCGGCAGGCTCGCGTCGCGATGGCGCCGACGTGGCTCTCGGACACCGCGCGGAGCGCTCGAACCTTGAACGATCGGCGGCTGTTCGATCGCCAGATCGTTCTGTGGTGGGCGATTCTTGGCCACTGGCGGCGTTCAACCTGGAACGCCCGCGGCGGGGTCGTCGTCGCGTCAACGCGGTGCGAACCTGCCGTCCACTTTTTCCTTCGTCGGCGAGGCAGAGTTGGCTGCACCAGCGAAAGAGCTAGAGACGGGGGCACCGGAAAGCGAATTGGCCAGCATGCGCGAACCTGCTGTACAAGTAAGAGGGACCCTAGGCAAGAGCAACCCTTGCTGCGCGACTTTTGGGGCGGCGGGGAGGCCGAACCGGGGCGCGCAAGCCGCTGCTATCGCACCGCATTCGGCCATCTGGGGGCCCCACTGCGCCCGCACCAAAAGTCACTCCACCGAAAGGTCAGGCTTACGCATCGCCGATGAACGGGGGGGGGTGATACATGGGGGCGAGGCGAAGAAACGTGCACCGGTCGCGCCCCTGTTTGGGCCCCGGGGGGGCCCCTTTGGCGCCACTGTATGGCAGAAGCGGTGTACCTATCTTCACCCCCGCGTCCCCAGATCCCCGACGCAATGAGTT